GGTATCGTGGCTGTTGGAGCTTTTCCCGGGTGTTTGTGGATCCAGAGTTCTTGTTCGTCGTGGTCTGTTTCAAGTACTTCTTAATTTTTTTCTTGCTGCTTGAAGTCAGGACGCGTCAGAAGCGCAGGTAGAAAAATAAACGTCCGTGGGTCGTCGCGACCGCGACGCTGTCGGCCATGCTGATTTGATCGGAAGAAGTGCGTAAGACAGCTTCGGAGCTGTCGTAGGATTTCGTCGTAACCTGCGCAAAACTTACGAAAATTTAGTTTCGTGAATACGAATTCGTTCTTAAGTTTTGTCTTACGCACATTTTTGGCGTAAGATCGTTTTGTGAATCTGGCCTCTGCACGTTCGAAAGTCGCAGGAAAGGTAAGACAGACGCAGACGACATTGCGAGCAGACGGCGTTGCAAAGGAGCAGACGACGCTCAGATAGGGAGTCGCGATCAGCCAATCAGGGCTCGGCGCTCTGACGTCACCGCTACCCCCTTCGCAAGAAGCAGACGAACTTGCCCTCCGCATAGTCTCCGGGCTTTGCTGTTTCCAAAAGAGATAACCCTTCGGTGCTATCGGATCCCCGCGGAGAGTGATAGAGAACGGCAGTTTCAAGGATAGGGCGCTCGAAGCTTGGGCGAATACGCGCTACCGTTTCACGCATGCACGGATGGCTGGTTTCAAAATTTCCCCACATCCGGAACCGGCCCATTTTCGTGTGTGCGTCTGCGGGATTGTTGTCCCGCGCCGCCAGTTTTAGCGCGCACGCGGCGTTGTTTTGGCCGGCAGAACTGTTTTTGACCGTCGATATTGTAAGGCCGTGGTGTCCTCATCCTCCCAGCAACAGTTCCTTTGCTTTCCCTTCTACAATACCCAGACTGACTGACACCACTTGGGTGGCCGTCACTGTTCGCCGCGTCTACGGCACTTTCGTACCATTTCACTCCTCGTGACACAGGGTTCGCTGCTCGCTTGACTGTCACGGGCCGTCCTATCTAACACAACGAGCGCGAAAAGTGGCGGTCATCTGCTGGTTCCGAAAGGGGGGACGCTCATATAGGCCAATAAGGGCCCCGAATGAATACGACGTCTGCCGATTTCTACACATTAAAAATTCACGACGCCTGCTGGTCTGTTAAGAAGTGTTGCTTTCCCTTTTGGACTCCTCCAATATAACTTGCTGCCTATAATAAAATTTAAATGATTAATAAATATAACAGGGCGGAATTACTGTATTTCATTTGCAGGTGGAAATGTTGAAAAAAGACAAAAATATTCCAAGTTTGTGAACACGCACAATTTGAAAGTCCGTTTCGAGCCGTTGAGGCACGTCTTTGTATGATATTAATGCTTAAATATAGAATCTACAAAGTGCACACTTTCTCGACTTTCTTTCCTAGTAAACAACTGTCATATCTACATTTAAAGAAAAAAAATAATGAATGGGCTTTTGAAAAAAAATCGATTTCGAAATTGGTACCTTTTGCTTTTAGCATAACATTAACGTGAATGTGCCGCAAAGGAAATTTTATGCAACCTAGTGATTTTATAACATTCGTGAAGAGGGTGTTTTGGGCTCTCCATAGACATAACAAGTATCGACGTAAGCCAAGTAGATCGAAAGTATGTAATTGTCAAATTTCATCAACAATCAACCGACATTTTTGCAGAAAAAAAAAATAAGCAAAGCACCTAAAATAATTTTATGGCATTAGATCCTTTTAACAGTACTCACAGAGTGCTCGAAAAAGTTAAATTTAATATGGACTCAAAATCCACGGCGGGAGATCGAGCGAAACATCCGACCCACGACGGATGTGAGAAACACTGCTTTCCGTCGCTACCTCTCTTAAAATTCGTAAGTCGAGAACAAAAAATCCGACGAACTTGCGGTTTTTGGCTACTGCGTTTTTATAGACGATGCCATAACATATATTTTTTTCAGCGAAATTAAAAATTCGTTCATTTTTGCCTGCACGATTTGAGATGAAATCACCTATATATATATATATATATATATATATGCTGCGATATGTTTATTGAACGAACTAACATATATATTGTTTTATTAGGGGTGCTGAATGAGGGCAGCTTTAGAACATGCTTAAAATTCTCATAGCTGTCGGAAAATGTACACATTTCCGTATAACCTGCACCACTAAACTACCAGGCGGTATCATCGCACATATCCCAACTTAAGCTTATAGTTACTTCTTATTAGTGTAGTTTTGTGAATTAATATTGTTACTTAGATATTGAGAGGCTTTCTATAAAAGGTCAAGGGAAAATACAGGTAGATTCAAGGAGACGCCAGGCTCTTTAAATCGACCGCAAAATTCGGTTTCTTAACCTATCGCGCTACGACTTTGTGCAGCGTTGCCCACAGATGGTGCATTTTGTTTTGTTGTAAAATTTGCAAAGAGCGAACTTACCTGAGAAAAAAGTAAAGAAACAAAAAGGCTTCGCTCCTATGGAAACGCAGCGAAGCCACCGGTCTTCAAACAACACGGTGCAGTTTGCTACGGGAGATAAGAGATGGCGCAATCGGTCGCGACGCAAACTACCGCCAACGAACTAGCATACGACGCCAAGAGGCGGCGTCTTTAGCAGACAAGGAACTGCAGCTCCTTGTTGTTACCGCGCCTGTTTTTGTTTCTGCGACTGTCGCCGCCTGCGGAACGCGCGCCGCTTTTGAGTCGAAAAGATCGTATGCTGAAGACGCCGCCTCTCGGCGCCGTATGCTCGTTCGTTGGTGGCGTTTGTTGCGTCATCTCTTGTCTCCCGTGCGAAACGGCGCCGTGTTGTTTGAAGACCGGTGGCGTCGCTGCGTTTCCATAGGAGCTAAGCCTTTTTCTTTCTTTACTTTTTCCTCAGGTAAATTCGCTCTTTGCAAATTTTACAAAAAAAAAAAAAAGCACCATCTGTGGGCAACGCTGCACAAAGTCGTAGCGCGATAGGTTAAGAAACCAAATTTTCCGGTCGATTTAAAGAGCCTGGCGTCTCCTTGAATCACCCTGTAGAATATAGCAATATTGGGCGAATGAAAAGTTTCTTATGTAACGCACTATTAAAATAATTTTAGAGGAAGTTTATTCGAGAAACAAGAGCTACTACTATTTGTTTTATTTACGTTTGAGCCCGCCAATAAAAATTCAATAAGAATAATAAGAATATAGCAGAGATCATAATATTTGAGGCGAACGAGGGACCAATTTTTTTCAAAGATTTTATTTATATGCATGGTGTTTATATCAAGTCGAAAATATATATTAAAAAAGTCATGAAAGGTTCTTTAATGGGGTCTATACATGCTCCAATTGAAACCTTGTTAAGCGTGACCCAAGCCACTAAATGAGTCACTTTTAGGCAGATTTGAAGTACGTGGTAAGCGCAGGGTGCGTAAGAGTTTTCACTTGTGCAACATGCCCAACGCTGGCGGACTGAAAAAGCGGGTGAAAATCATTTCTACCGAGGTTGCGGACCACGTGTTTTCCACAACTTAACGTGCCCTCGCGCACACCACGTGCGTCAAACCTCTCGTAACTGGAATACTTTAGTGGTTTTAAAGGACGCTCAGGAATGTGATAATTCAAACCAGAAGCTTGCTTTCGCAAAACAAAATTTAATTATCAAATTTTAAGTATTTTCCGAATAATTATGGCGAATATCCCCCTATATTATGCCTCCCTGTCCAAATAAATCACGTCCTTAAACCGGATTAATGCACTTTTAATTCAAATGAATTTTTCTGTCTCAAATAAAATGAAACACTCTGTATACAAAATACATATCTCACAGGCTGAAGTATGCTTCCAGGTTACACACACACACACACACACACACACGCACACGCACACGCACACGCACACACGCACACACACGCACACGCACACACGCGCACACACGCACACACGCACACACGCACACACGCGCACACACACACACACGCACACACGCACACACGCACACACACACACACACACACACACACACGAACGTAGTATATAGTTCTCTTCAAGGGATACTGAACCGAAATTTCGAGCTCACAGAACAAGGCTGGGCGGAGGGGCGGGACGCTGCAAAACCCCCAAAAATATCACTCATACAGTGATATCTTTAACGGATCGCCGTACTTTTGGAAAAGAAGTACATGATTGAAAACAGCCGACGAGACAAATCATGTCTCGAATCTTATTCCCTCTCCTCGCTTCGTCCCGTCGAGCTGGTGAACGAAGCGAGGAGGAGAAGCCAGGCCGTTTCCATTAATTCTCAAACTTTCCAGGGGGACAATGACGTCAAAGACCTTGTTTGATCGCGCCCTTCTTTTCGAAAAGTACGGTAATCCGTTTGAGATACAAATATATGAGTGATATTTTGGAGTTTGAAGCGTCCCGTTCAATACTTCTGTGGCCTTATTTTGCGAAATCCAAATATCGGTTCAGTATTCCTTTAAAAACGTGAAACGAACATCCGCGAGAGCTTCAGAACGTCAGCCGATTTATATCTTAGAGACCTAATGAAAAACTGAAGTCTGTGAGAAACTTGTGCTGCTATTCTCAATATCAGAATGATAATTTTCATTGTCTAGGTATTGCTCATGTAACAAGATACAAGCAAAATCGAGTAAGAAAATTAGCTGACGCTTGCAGAAAGCACAAAAAGAAAACAAATCGATTTTGTTGATTATTCCACGCGCAGCATCGAAGGTGCAAACGTGCATCTTATGCGAATACAGACCATATCACTTAATGAATGTGAGAATATGCGCACCTCGGAACCCTGATTTGGCGTCGCGGCTCGTCTTCATTTCGGTATCACCGAAATCCGCTTTATACAAACACAGCATCCTTTTCCAAAGTCTCGTAATTGCTGAAATAAATTGAGTTTCAACTAATCTGAACCTCAGCAACTGGTTTGCATTGTAATGTATAAACTAGGAAATATTGTGTTGATTATGGCGTCCCTTTATTAAGTGCTCTAATCATCTCGTTTCTTCTTCTATTTCAGATCTCGAAGACGATTTCAATTTTTATCTGGAGCGCGTTCCTCAGCTATTTTGTCTTTGTGCTATGCGAATGCCCCACCGGCAATATTGAAAAGATGACCTTTATGCCAGAGCGGCTGAGAAGGACGAAGCAAGATAACAAACTTGCAAATAATGGCGCCGAACAATTCGGAAATGGAAAGATAACTCCGGAACAGAAAATATCGCAGGCAAACTCTCCAGAATTTAATGGCGATATTAAAGATTATTATTGCCATTTATAGCTGGACGACGCGCAAGTGGGGAGTTTTTCAATTATAATCACGTGCCTTTATATTCTTGGAAGCATCGTGGCATAGACACTTTGCGTTTTGTGAACGCATTCATATTTACACTCGCTTCATTTCATTTGAGAGTCTGTATCATTACGGGTATTACTTCTTGTTGCGCATTTCTGAGTGCTGATTAATGGCGATAAATACATGATCGAGTGGTACATCGGGTACGATAAGGCGATCATGAAAGAAATATGTGTATGTCTTATATTAAACACATGCAAAGCAACTATGACAATATATTTTTGGAGTACTGAAGATTCTTATCTTGCACCCGGCCTATTAATCTGGTTATTCCGACAAAAAAATGGTTGTGAAAACTTATTTCACAACCATTTATTATTGTAAAGGGGCGAAGTTTAAATACATGACACTACAATAGTATACTTTATATATTAAAATCTACAAAAATGTCTAAATTCAATCACCACATGAAAATGTTTGTCACTTCATCAAAAATCATTCAGTAATTCTTTTGACGAACATGTCGCAAAGTGCACAACATTGATCATCCATAGATAGTCGAAAACTTCTTTATGAACCGTTTATTCGCGTAAACCATGCATGGTGCCAATTTTTGTAAAAGCGGTCACGACGAGGAAACAGTGAGACTAGAGTTATCATAAACTGTTGCAGGCCGATATATTTCACATAACAAAGGTGGAATATCTAGTAATACATAGTATTAGTCATGTTCATACTTGATTTATGTTAAGAGCCCCTGGGTTTTGAGGAAATGGTCAAAATTTGTTTTGTAAATAATGGAGCGCAGGACGCTTGGTCAGTCAATTTACCATATGGTAGCTTTTTGTCTGGAGGCCCGCCAGAGTAAATTTCTGGAAATAAAAGATTTAATTTAATTTAAATCTCAATGTATAGCACACTTTTGATAATCATGTCAAGATATGCTCATATCTGAACAAAACAAAACATGTGAGTCAAGGTCTTATATTATGAGCATGCTTAAAAAAGGATAAACTTTTTTTAATTATGTGTTTCAGACTAACAGGCATTTCGCAGAAGTTTGTTATATAAGGAATGGATAATGTTTTTTTTTTTTTTTTAGTTTCCGCCTTGGGAATTTGCTACTGTGATTGCGTCCGTGTGTGACTGCAGATTGTGGGAAGTGTTTTCTAAGTCACAAGAAACTTTCATGCCCTGCGGCAGCATCGCGGAACTGTGCCTTTTTGAATATAAATAAAAAAATCATATCACAAGGAATGCTTATTTATTTACTTTACTGAAAACTGAACTAATTTTATCTCTTATACCATGAAGAGTCATAGAATTTCGTGGAAAAATGCACAATCTGCGCAGGCAACACGCCAATAGTGGTCCTATATTGGTCCGATATTGCTCAATAATGTCCATAATCTTGGATAATATGCGAAAGTGCAACGCGGCGATATATTGGTGCGATATTGAGTACCCATTTGGGCCTTTGCTGTGGACGCAATATTAACCAATATAAGTGCACATTTTCTAGTCAATAATTTCTACAGGAAGTTTTTCCATACTAACCAATATTGGTGCACAATATACTTACAAATATTAGCTACACTAACTGCCCCAATATCAACCACTATTATTACATGTTTTCGTACCAATATTTGCTACAAGAACTTCCCCAATGTTGACTACAATTGGTTACATTTCCTAGCAAATATTGGATACGGGAATTTCACCAATATTAACCAATATCGGTTCACATTATCTGGCCAATGTTGGCTACACCCGTTTTCTCAATGTTGTACTACATATTAGTACAATTTCACTAGCCAATACTGACACACCACATTCCCCAATACTGCCCTATATCGGTTCCTTTCTTCCAGCCCATACTGGCAGCATGGACCTCCCCAATATTGTCCTCTATTGATAATTGTCCTAGCAATATCAGGCACCCACCTTTCCCTCATAGAAACTAATATTGGGTAATTGTTTTTACCATGCTGAAACCAATAACAGTTGTAGTTAATTTTCGTCCATAAATACAACACGTTTTCATCTTTTTTACGTGTTTATTATTTAGAAACTTAGAAGGCAGGCAGGCAGGCAGGATCTTCAATCTTAGACACTTGACACAGGGCTTCGACCCTGCCCCACTTGGCCTTGCGTTTGTCCCTCTTGACCTTATGTCTGCCCCGCTTGCCTTGCGCTTGTCCCATTTGGACTTTGGGCTAGCCCAACTGGGCTGGTGCCTAGGTTCCGACTGCCACCCTCCCCGTCCGCGACACCAGACAATTAGCTTTCTTAAAGGGGCGGTGCAACGATATTCAGTTCGAATGTTTTTAACTTTACACGAGCTTACTGGCACATGTGGGACTCAAAGATACTCTCACGCAACGCCACGTGTCAAGAAACTCCTTTGTTGCGCTGAAATTTCAAGGACAAAACCTAGTGTTTTCATTCAATCTCTCCTCCGTAAAACCTGATGACGTAGCTGGGCGGTAGCAGTACCGCCCAGTGACGATATTTTAATGCGGCTCATAGATTGGACCCGAGCATGACGTGGACACTCGATTTGGGCTCGTGATAATCCATAGCTCGAGAAGCATTCGGGTAGTATCCTGTGTCCAATCGCTGCAATGACGACAACAGCCGAGCCAGAACACTGTCTGGAACTCAGTGCGTGTCTCGTGCTTCGCCAACCCCAGCGCATGACCATGATCAACACTGGCGGCATATAATCGGCTCCAGATCATGTGGCCTCTTGTTCTGGCTGTAAGTTGAGGGGGTGAACTCTGCTCGTTTTTCTTTCTTTTTTTTCTGCGACTTCGATTGCATGTGGTGAAAAGCGAACGGGCATTTGACAGGTTATTAACGTCAGGGATCCGTTCTAAGCGGTATTAGCGCAAAATGCAAAAATCGTTGCACCGCCCCTTTAAAGTCAACGACGTCGACACTTTCTACTTCTTCATTGATGGCGGCTGAAAGTAGAAGCATAATATTCGACCTCTCATATTGATGTTATAATGAATTGAACACAAGTCATATTTGCACTGTATGCAAATTTGTCTTCAAGAAATAGTAAGCGAGCAAAATTTTAAACAAAGTACTACACAAAAACAGATGTGGTAAAACTACTCTAATTAGTAGAGTTTTAGTCATTTTCTGGACGGCACTGAGATCTACAAACTAGCAAACTAGATTTGTGCAACCAGCATGTGCTGAACTATACTCCGTTTCAACTTATGATGCACTGCAGAAAAGGCTAGGCATAGTGCACATCTCGGCGGTTCAAGCTCTTGTGCATTAAGGGCGGCTAACAACCCTTTTAAGAGCTCGCGCTTCTAGCCTTCGCTGGGGTACAACATAAGCTGAAACAGGGTATAGTGCTACTAAAAAAGCTATGCTCCAGAGTTACACCACTTACCCACCTTGTGGCTTAAAATCATAGTGGCCAGTTATCTGAAGCTATATCTCAAATAACAGGAAACGCTTTTTCGTACTCCACACACGTTATACAGTTCGCGACAGAGAAAAAAATTGAAAGCCGTTTACAGCCCTCTGTAACGCCGAATTAGAGCGCAGCTCTTGAGGAGGAGGAGGAAAGGGTAGTGAGGGTCACGTGTTCTTGGAGGGGGGTCACGTGACCTGGGGGAGGGGTCACCTGACCACCACCCCCCGAGGTCACGTGACCTGGGGGTTACGTGACCCCCCAGGTCACGTGACTCCCAGAGAAATTTTTCCGCTAGATTGAGCGGGGGAATTTTTCCGCCAGATTTAGCAGGGAAATTTTCCCGCTAGATTTAGCGGGGAAATTTCGCTATGGCGGGGAAATTTTTCCGCTAGATTTAGCGGGGAAAATTTTCCGCTAGATTTAGCGGGTAAATTTTTCCGCTAGATTTAGCGGGGGAATTTCTCCACTAGATTTAGCGGGTAAATGTTTCCGCTAAGTTTAGCGGGGAAATGTTTTTGCTAGATTTAGCAGGGAAATTTTTCCGCTAGATTTAGCGTGGAAAAATTTCCGCTAGATTTTGCGGGGAAATTTTTCTGCAAGATTTAGCGGGGAAATTTTTCCGCTAGGTTTAGCGGGGAAATTTTTCCGCTAGATTTAGCGGGGAAATTTTTCCGCTAGATTTAGCGGGCGAGTTTGTCTGCTCGATTTAGCGGGGAAATTTTTGCCGCTGGATTTAGCGGGAAATGTTTTCGCTAGGTTTAGCGGGGAAATTTTTCCGCTAGATTTAGCGGGGATGAGCAATTTAGCCAGTGCAGTACAACCGCTAGCCTAAGGTCTTTAACGTGCACCACGCAGTAGTGATACGCGACCGCACGCCGGTACGATGCTCATCCAGATCGAAGCGGGCAGGGGTGGGGCTCGAGCCCAGAATCCCTGGGTTCTGCAGCGCGAGCTGCCGCTCCACGCGCGTTGAGTTGCATGTGCGCTTTAGCCCACTCGGCCACCGATCCCCCCAAACTATTGACTATAAAGTGCACATATTAGTAATAGCATTTTTAAATATATCAATGTCAGTGATGTTAGCAATCAAGGAGGGGAAGGTGGTTCCAGTCTTAGATGTTTGTGGCATAAAAGAATATTGAAATAATGAAGTTTTAAAATTCGGAATACAAACCTTATGCCTATGATCAATGCGAGAACTTAGTTTATGAAGAAGGGTAGCATTTTGATGAAATATTTTATGAAAAAGAGACAAACGAGAGGTTTTTCGTCGGCGAGTTAGTAACGGCAGACCTAAAGTATTTTTCAAGGTAGTAACACTGGCAGTGCGTTGATAGTTTGTCAATATGAAACGAGCTGAGCGGTTTTGAACCGATTCAATAAAATCAATTAGTGACGACTTAGCGGGGTCCCGCACAGCAGCAGCATATTCTAATTTTGGACGGATTGGGGTTTTGTACATGGTTAGTTTTAATGAAGACGGAGCGCGAAAGATATTTCCTTTTAATTATCCTAACATACGGTTATCACTCGTAATTACGTGTTA